TGCTAAAGTTTTACCCCAAATTTTCTGTTCTATTTTCAATAATCTGCTCTCAGATTCTCAATCTTAAAGCAATCCAATATATGCTTCTTCTAAAATGATAGCTGTTCTCTTGTTTTTAAAACACTGTAAAAGGCAACTGACCTGCAATTTCAGAGGAAGACAAATAAGAGCAATTGGAACATTTACCATGGGAGATTCACTGCATAAGTCAGAATATGTTTAGGACAAACGTGGTGTATAAATTATCAACTGCTGTCATGCAGAGAAGTTGATGCCTGTCTAAGGGAACTGAGATTGGGAATGCAAGAAACACTGCAAATGCCATAAAACAGAGAGGATAGTTAAATAAATGGTGTATCCACCTCTGAAAAACCCATATAGCTATTAAAAATAATTTTTTGAAGAATATGTATTCACTTGGGAAATGGTCATCATATATTAAGTGAAACAAGCCATCCATAAAACTTTGCTACAGCATTTTAGTTCAATAAAATACCTACAATATGAGTTTGCTCTTTAATAGCGGGGTAAGACTGGAAGGACATATGTTATCTTAAAATGTAGTAATAATCCCTGGGCAATGATATCATGGGTGATTTTAGTGCATGGATATATCTCTGAAGTTTTCAAAATTCCTATTATAAACATGCATTCCTGAAGATGACTTACCAGTATTAGTAATATCCATGATAATTAGTTTGAAGCATTTCCAAGAAAAGATGATGGCTAAAATTCCACCATATTCAATTAATATGGAACAAAACTCATATAAAAAGTTTCTCTCTAAGGATTATCCACATTTACTAGTCAGAAAACAGATATTATCATTTAGTGAGCCTTTGACAGGAGTCAGACATTGTGCAAAAAATATTATATAGAAGATTTCCTTAATCCTCGGAACAATCTTAAATAGTAGAAATGCCTATAATCCCTGTTTTACAGATGAACAAACTGAGTTTAGGAAGCAAATTAATCATTCTATCAAAAATACAGACGAGGAAGCTGAGGTTAGAAAGCAAATGTCATTCCATCAAAAATGTCATTCTACCAGTAATAGTTACAGCTGTGATTCCATCCAGGTATATCAAATTTCTCAGTCCATGATGTTAATTACTACACTGAAATTTTAATTTATATTCATACTTTATATTTAATTTTCATTCAGAGATCTAGGCCACCAAAACAATTTTGATCATAGCAACACAATAGACTTGTCCATACATGCCAATGGATTGAAGGATTTTGGAGTAGAATGTTACCAAAAATATAAGCAATAAACATGAGAATAAAGAACACTCAATACTTTATTGACTTCTGCCTGGAAGACAGAAAGGATAGCCCTTTCGTTTGAACCAACTACACCAAAGAGTTCAGATTTTCCAAAGTCGAACAAAGTTTTCCTGAGATAAAAATATTACTGTTATGTGGCTTAACTTCTCACAAATCTTAGGGCTAGATACCATTTCCCCCTCTGTCAGCATAAGCAAAGCATTGCATGTTGTGTTTTATATCCAAATCCTAAAGGCAATTCTATTTCTAGATCATTAGAGATAAAAATGAACTGGAAACAAAACGAAGATTTATAGTTAACGGCTTCAAGGCTTTCTTTGGCAAAGAACATGAGAAACCATCATAGTTTTGTTTTATAATGCTTATTGGCTTCTAGGCCAAGAGTTTCTTCTTTAAGAGAGAGGGAAATAGCTTAACTCATCTAACTGCCTGCCTTCCCTGCATTAGAGGTGCTCACTGTGTTGACTGTAGTGTAGAGTAAGTAAATAATCATAGTGCTAGTTTTTCAACCTCAGTATCATTGACATTTTGAGCTGGAGAATTCTTCATTGTGGGGATTCAGGGGAGCAGGGGTTGTCCTGTGTATTGCAGGATGTTCAATAAGATTCATGGCCTCTACCCACTAGATATCAGTAGCAGCTCCCTTGTTGTGACAAATGTGTAGACCTAAATATCTCCAGACATTATCAAATGATCCCTGGGAGAAATTGCCCCAGTTGAAAACTAGCCCCAGTATATCCCCAAACTTGACTTTTCTACATCCTTTAAAAAACAGTTTGACCTGACTGGGCGTGGTGGCTCATGCCTGTAATCCTAGCACTTCGGTAGGCCTAGGCGGGAGGGTTGTTTGAGCCCTGGAGTTCGAGACAAGCCTAGGCTACATAGCATGACCTCGTCTCTACAGAAAATAAAAGAAAAATTAGGCTGAGGGAGAATGTTTGCTTGAGCCTGGGAGTTTGAGGCTGCAGTAAGCCATGATGGTGCCACGGCATACCACCTGGGTGACAGAGCAAGACCCTGTCTCTAAAAAATAAAAATAAAATAGCTTGACCTTCCCATGGCATATAATTGACAGCTGTATATGCCACATAAGCTTGCTCCTCTGACTGTGACTAGTTGGGCAAAGGTTGACGCATTGGCCTAACTTGGGCCAATCACATCTTGTCTTCTCAGACAATGTATTAAGACACAGAAACTGAGTCAAATGTATATGTGCCCTGAAGCAATACAATCATGCTAAGAGAGATTGGAGTCAGTACCATGGAAGTAAAAGCCTTATATCATTCTCTAATGTATGAGAAGGTAAAAATAAAAATCTTGAAAAGAGACAGTCTACACAGGAGAGAATTAGGCAAACAGAGATCAGAGACAGTATGTTCCATGAACAAAGAAAATGAGATGACAGCTGCCTGAAGAACTTACAAATTCCAAGAGGTTTGGCTGAATTTCCTATAAGTGTTTCACCGAGATTCCTTTATTTCCTTAAAATACTTCCTCTTTACTTAGCCTAGCTTGAGTGTGTTTCTCTTTCTAACCACCTACTGATCCATTATGAAAATACATAACATGAATCGATCTAGAAGGTGTCCTTCCTTATCTATATCTAGAGGAAGAACAATGAACACCAAGCCAAGGGATTCAGGTTCAATGTCCTGTTATGTGAACTAAGCAAGTGACTCATTTCTTTGAGTCCTCCTCCTGATTTCTTAAATAAAGGATTTGAAAATCAATGCACACCCAGCTCTAAATTATGAAACACAAAGATGGGAGGAGAGATTTATAGTCCCTTTGCACCTTGGACTCATTGTTTGGCAGTAACATATAAAATTGTCTTAAAGGTGGTGGTCTAAATTTGGTATTAGAGTCCATTATGCTGGGCTGAAGAGTCATTCGAGCCATGGGTTATCAACCATGGGATGAATGGGACACTATTCAACCCTTCCAAGCCTCGGTTTCTACATGTTGAAAATGGTAGAGAAAAATGTATCTCCTTATGCTAATCAGTTTCCATGGTGCCCCCCAATGATCCCTGCCTGCTGGTCTTCCAGCCCTTGTAGTCTACCACCACAATGAATAGGCGCTGGTGGGTATAACCTGTAGGATATTGTGGAAATAACAAAGTGTAACTTCTGAGGTGACGTATAAAGGCTTCTGTATTGTTTTCTTGGATTACTCACTCTGAGGGAAGGCAGCTACTTCAAGCTTTTTACACCAAGCTTTTTATGAGAGGGTGTTCACAAGGCAAGGAACCAAGACCACCTCCCAATAGCCATGTGAACAAGCCTTCTTAAAATCATTCTGCCATATCAGTCAAACCTTCAGATCTTGACTGCAACCACATGAGATGCTCTAAGCCAGAACCTCATAAGTTTAATTCGTGACCCACAGAAACTACAACATAATATTTTCTGTCTTAAGCTGTTAATTTTTGGGATCCGTCATATCACAATAAAGAAAACATATACTGCTTTGTCGAATTGTTGGAAGGATTAAATAAAATAATGCATGAGAAGTGTTTAGCACAGGGTTTGACCCACACTGAGGACTCAGGACAATTCTATTTATTCATCAATTTTTCTGGAGCACCCAGAGTGGTACCTGGCATATAGTAAGTGCTCATTAAATATGCGTTGAATGAATTTTAGGTGTTGCTATATTTATTATCATTATCGCCATCATCATTCTCTATAGCCTCAGTCCAAAATCATTTCCCAAATGAGCTAGACCTTCAAGTTTCTTGACCTAAAAAAAATTCCTTTACCCTAATTTGCTCTAAAAAAATTTCAAAATAAAGCTATTTGAAACCCCAGAACCCAGAAGTTTAGTTCATTTTGTGCTGCTATAATGGAATATCTGAGACTGAGTACTTTATAATGAATAGAAATTTATCAGCTCACAGTACCAAAGGCTAGGAAGTACAAGATGAAGGCATCAGGTAAGGGTCTTCTTGCCGCATCATCACATGATGAAAGGCAGAAAGGCAAGTGTGCAAGAGAAGTATACACTTACCCTTTTATATTAGCATTAATTCTACCCATAAAGGCAGGCTCCCTGATATGACTTGGATTTATGTTCCTGTCCAAATCTCATGTCAAATTGTAATCCCCAGTGTTGGAACAGGGGCCTGGTGAGAGGTGCCTGGCTCATGGAGGCAGACTTCCCCCTTGCTGTTCTTATGATAGTGAGTGAGTTCTCACAAAATCTTGTTGTTTAGAATTGTGTAGTACCTCCTCCTTTGCTCTCTTCCTCCTTTCTTGGCCATGTAAGACCTGCTTGCTTCTGCTTTACTTTCTGCCATGATTGAAAGTTTCCTGGGGCCTCCGTAGCCATGCTTCCTGTACAGCCTGTGGAGCCATGAGCCAAATAAGCCTCTTTTCTTTATAAATTACCCAGTTTCACGTATTTCCTTATAGCAGTGTGAGAATGGACTAATACAGTTCCTCACAGCCCAATCACCTCCCGAAGGTCCCACCTCTCAATGCTGCAATGGCAAGCAAATTTCAACATGGATTTTTTGGGGAAAAAACATTGAAATAATAGCACCAGAGAAAAAAGAATTCAAACTCTGCTGAGGCTGGCAATTGTATAACTTTTTAACACTTTGGATGCACCTTGTTCAGTATCTGGAACCATAGTAGATAAAATGAGAAATTACATTAGGTACAGTGAATGCCATATGAACTTTTCAAGAGGTAAAGCCAGGTACCTACCGTCGACGCAGGAAGGCCGGTTTCTTGTTGTTCCAGCCACTTTTCCAGGTAGACAGGAACACTTTACTGTTTGTGACCTCTCCTCAATGCGATTCTTGTTACAACATCGGTGTGCTGCTATCACTTCACACGTCCCTCCTTCTGGCAAGAGAGAAAGAACAGGGACACTGATGAGAAATAACTCAGCGACTATTTGAGCCTCTGGGAGTACATGTAGAGGGGTTGAGGAAAGTAATTGAAATTACAGAAACAGTTTGCATGAAATATAATTACAAAAGGACTCTCTTCTACTATATGTAATCACAGAGAGGACAGTGCTGTACTTCCAAAGCAACAAAGAATACCAATGGATAGCCCTCAAGATGTGGCAATTCTGGGCTGTAGGTATTGAGAGGCAGTAAAGCAATGAATGCCTGGAACTAACACACTCAATAAAGATGCTGCCTGATTTAAATGCATATTTTGGGAGCCATCTTTTGCGTTATCATCAGATTTAAGATTCTCTGAGCTCTCTCTAACAACAACTGACACTCCAGTGATACAGAAGCTACAGTGCCAGAAAAACTGCCCAGAAATCAGCTCTCCCTTCCATTGCCTGACTACTTCAAGGGGGCTAAATAGAAAATCTATTCGGGATATATTTCCCAAATCTAGACTTCATCCACAAATGAAAGAAAGAATTGCTGGAGAAAATGGGTAGGTGCTTTAACCAATGTCTCAAACTGCAGGCCTGGTCATATAGCTTGACTTAATTGTAACAGTTCATCCATGCATTCATCAGAATGTATTGGCAAACTAATGTGTGTCACCCTCCACTAGGTTCTTAGCAGGTGAACTGCCGGCTCCGTGTAAAGATTGATAAGCATCCAAGTGGGTCTTTCTGGCCTACAGGAAATCAGCTAAGCCAGATCTCTAGGGACACACAAAAGATACACCAAGTGACCAGAAAGCAGGAGTCAACTTTCTCAACATCAAGTTTGGAGTTCAGAATAGACCCGGTCCACTTAGGATTCTTGGCATTTAGGATGCAGTTGGCAAAAATTCACCAAGCATTTGTTAAGCAACCTCTATATACAAATTACTGTGTGATAAACTATATGGATGATAATACATCCCGTGTACGCAGAGGATACATATGGACACTTCGAAAACGTTGTAAAAAAGAAAAGGAGGGAGAAAGGAAGGAGAGAAGACTTAAGAGACAGCTTCATCCTTTCATCCTGTCCTCTGAGAACTGTGTAATGCAGTGATCCTCAGTGCAGTGGTGGCGAGGTGTGATGCTGCTCCCTCCTAGCTAATAATAGCTGGCCAGTTTGGAGATATTTCTGATTGTCATCACCGGTTGGAGCACACTGTTACTTGTATCTTTCAGGAAGGAAGCAGGGCTATGTTAAGCATCCCACAATGCCCAGGATGGCCTCCCATAGAAACAATGATCTGGCCTAAAAGATCAATATTGTGAAGATGTCGAGAAACCCTGGCCTAACATGAAAGAAACACAAGAGTCTCTGATTTTGAGTAGACTAATTATGTTTCTCTCCATGGGAGGGAAGAGTTCAGGCTTTCACATCAGCCCCTTTTAGTTTGAATCTCAGCTCTGTCACTTACTGAATGCCTTAGTTTCCTCACCTGTAAAATGGGAATAATAGTAACACCTGCATCACAGGGTTGTGTGAGGAAAAACAGAGAGAACACATGTAAAGGGGTTAGTGCTGAGCCTGACACATGGTAAAGAGTCTGTATATGCTTCCTATAATAAGAATACCAGAGTAACTGGATATTATTCATATCTTTGTAGGTGCCAACAAAGGTATAAATTTATATCTTTGGTGCCAACAAAGATATAAATTTTTATCTTTGGTGCCAACAAAGATATAAATAACACACTTTCTGTCTTAGAGGGATTGAAAATATGGTTTCTCCTGGAATACTCACTCCTACCTCCCATCCCGCCAACCTCCTCACTCCGACACAAATGATTTTACCAGTTAACTCTCCTTAGAGCCCAACTCAAAGGTCAGTTCCTTAGAGAATGTTCCCCACTTCCACCATTGTTCATTCCATTAGCACCCTACACATTTCCTGTGTGTAGTTGTTCATGTCTGTGCCCTAGCCAAACTGTAAGCTTGATTGGGGTCAAGGTCATCGCTTGTTTCCTCACAGCAATGAATGGGAATTTTTGGAACAAAGGACTGGTGTGGTACAGGTATTTCCCTAGGGCAACCACCTTGGTAAGCTGTGTACCGGAGGAGTTGGAGAAGCACAAGGTAGCGAAGGAGAAGAAATAAATGGCTCTTGCAAAACACTGAGTAGAAGAAAGAAGGCTGCAACTTGCTCATGGAAGAGTGCCTTACTATCTCCACATGCACTACACTGAGATTCGAGTTAATGGAATAGGGCTAATCATATATTACACTCTTTAACTCAGACACCTGCAATCATGTCACTTTAGCTTATAATTGTCAGCTACAAATACCCTCGGTCAAGTCAGTAATAGCTAGTTCAACACTTCACGAAAATGCCACTAATTTTAACATCACCTCTTGGCTCTAATACAAGAGTGGAGCAATATTTATGATTGAAAATGGCACAAGGCACATGAAAGCTCTCAGGATGTATTTTGAATCTCATATGATTTACAGTCAAGTCAACGGACACAATGACAGACATGCCAGATTGCCTGAGTTACTGCACTGAGTTAAATAATACTGACAACAAGGTGGGCACTGAAGGTCCAAAGCCTGTCCCTCATGGCACTGCTGTCAATGAGAAAAAGGAATGCTTCTCTGCCACTCTTCGAGCTCACTGCCATTTCTGGAGCTCTGATTTGGATGCTGGACGCTGTATTAATTATAACATTCCAGCAACATTACAAGGTATTGTCCCCACTTTACACATGACAAGCTGAGGCTCAGAGGGGTTGAATAACTTGCCCAGAATCACATAAGTGTGACCCCCGTCTACTAGATCCCCAAACTCATGCTTTTTGCATCTTTCCACAAGTGGTTGTTCCTTGTGGTTGAAAAACTTCCAAGAAAAAGTTTGACACTTGGCTTAGAAAGGTTATCAAGGTTGAATATCCGAGCCACCCCTCCTCCCCTAGTTGTGACTCTGACCTTATTCGTTTTGTTTGTTTGTTCTGAGATGGCATTTCCCTCCTGTTGCCCAGGCTGGAGTGCAATGGCACAATCTCGGCTCACTGCAACCTCTGCCTCCCGGGTGCAAGTGATTCTCCTGCATCAGCCTCCTGAGTAGCTAGGGTTACAGACATGCACCACCATGCCCAGCTAATTTTTTTGTATTTTTAGTAGAGACAGGGTTTCTCCATTTTGGTCAGGATGATCTTGAACTCCCGACATCAGGTGATCCACCGACATCAGGTGATCCCGACATCAGGTGATCGGCCTCCCAAAGTGCTGGGATTATAGGCATGAGCCACCACTCCCGGCCGATTTGTTATGATTCTCTCTCTACTTCCCTTTCCTCCATGGACACTGTTTTGACAGTTACTGCATGAGCACCCTAGGCACGTACCCCATGAGGGTCACTGTATCACCTGAGACACACTCCCAACAGATCTCTGGCTCACCCACTCCCGACTCCATCATTGCTCAAATGTCACTTAATAAGAGGCACACTTGACACTTGTCTACTCAAAATAAATCATACTCCCCTTAGCCAGTACTCATGAGCTCCCTTGTTTTATGTCCGCTCACTCCCCTGCGCCCAACACCTGTAACTTTCAAACACAGTATATAGTTTTCTCATGACATTATTGTCCATGTGTCCCATTGGAAATCAAACTCCTCCAGAACATGGATTCTTATTGTTTTATGTATTCAACAACGTGTGGAATATTATTATCAAGGTTTAAAATGTGTTTTTAACACATATTTTATTTAATTTTCAAAGCAGTTCAAAGATGGAGGTAGAACTATTATTATTTCAATTTTCTAGAGATAATGCAGACTTAGAGCAAGAAATATAGCCATGCAACCAATGGTAATAATAATAGTATTAAAGAAATTAATCATTTACTGAGTTTTTCCTATGCGCCCGATACCATAATAAACACATCACAAATCTTTATTTTACAGGAGAAGCAACTGTGACCAAGAGTGTCTTAGAAACTTGCCCATGTTTCAACCTACAGAATGGGAGAAAATTTTTACAATCTACCCATCTGACAAAGGGCTAATATCCAGAATCTACAAAGAACTTAAACAAATTTACAAGAAAAAATCAACCCCATCAAAAAGTGGGCAAAGGATATGAACAGACACTTCTCAAAAGAAGACATTTATGCAGCCAACAGACACACAAAAAATTGCTCATCATCACTGGTCATCAGAGAAATGCAAATCAAAACCACAGTGAGATACTATCTCATACCAGTTAGAATGGTGCTCGTTAAAAAGTCAGGAAACAACAGATGCTGGAGAGAAAGTGGAGAAATAGAAATGCTTTTACACTGTTGGTGGGACTGTAAACTAGTTCAACCATTGTGGAAGACAGTGTGGCCATTCCTCAAGGATCTAGAACTAGAAATACCATTTGACCCAGCCATCCCATTACTTGGCATATAACCAAAGGATTACAAATCATGCTGCTATAAAGATACATGCACATGTTATGTTTATTGCAGCACTATTCACAATAGCAAAGACGTGGAACCAAAAATTTCCATCAATGATAGACTGGATTAAGAAAATGTGGCACATGTACACCATGGAATACTATGCAGCCATAAAGAAGTATGAGTTTATGTACTTTGTAGGGACATGGATGCAGCTGGAAACCATCATTCTGAGCAAAGTATCACAAGGACGGAAAACCAAACACCGCATGTTCCCACTCATAGGTGGGAATTGAACAGTGAGAACACCTGGACACAGGATGGGGAACATCACACACCAGGGCCTGTCATGGGGTGGGGGGAAGGGGGAGGGATAGCATTAGGAGATATACCGAATGTAAATGATGAGTTAATGCGTGCAGCACACCAATATGGCACATGTATACATATGTAACAAACCTGCATATTGTACACATGTACCCTAGAACTTAAAGTATAATAATAATAAAAAAGAATATCCAAACAAACTTAAAATGCAAAAAGAAAAAGAAACTTGCCCATGTTT